ACACCATAGAGGTCAAATTGATTGACTTTGGGTGAAGAAATCTGCCTTCAAAGTGGCGTGTTATGAACCCCTTTGGTAATTTGCTCACAGAAATGCATCCTATAATATATATATAGTCAACATGTACTGTACTGTTCTCCAAAGGTTGAGTTCAACGGCAGGTACCACGCAAAGTCGACTAGGGATCGTCATGTTCGTAATGGTGTGGGGAGGTTATCCCACAGCTCACAACCTACTCTCGATCTATGCGAACATCTGAAGCAGTCCTGGCCTGTCACAAGGTGAGATCTTCATCAAAGAACAAAGATGGATAATTTGAGTTGTAAATCATACAAAAAAGACCTGTAGCTTCAAAGAGAGCAGGTGTAAAATAAAATAACCTAACAATCAGATGTCTATCTCATTTTTTTTTTTGCACAGAAAGCTGCCAGATGATTTGCACTTGTCTGTAGCCTAAGCCACAGAAAAGACTGGAGATCTCATTCTGGAGATGAAGCATCTCCATGACTGGTTTAAGGTACTGAGTTTAGCTAAATGTTTTTTTCATTTTTTCATTTAGTTTGTTCATCAATCATATAATCAATCACCATTAACTTGTTGCCAAGTCATATTTGCACTAAATATAATGCATTTAGACAAATATCACTGATATATATTTGTTTCAGGCCATGGAGTAAGAAAACATCAGCAAACAACTCCTGTCACTTTCTTTACAGAGGTTTTTTTTACTTCTATTTTTAACTAACATTATCACTAACATGATTTCTTTTGAAAGTCAGTTGCCCCTTTTCACACCTGCATGTGTACTCTGTTTAATCAAACCCTAACTATAACTGAAGATTCAAGAAGGACTTTGCTGTAAAAACCACATCATAAGATATTGGATCGGTAATCATTCACATGCGCCATCAGTGCTTGGACCCCATTATTGGTTATTCTTAAATTGAAATAATAGTTCACAATATTACTGTCTTACAGTATTTTTTGATCAAATAGATTCAAAAACATTAAAAAAATCTTACTGACCCCAAACTTTTTAACATTAGGCTACTGTATAACCAGTATTGGCATAACATTTAAGCTATGACTACATATGTACCGGTATGTACCAAGTCCATCAGGCTACCTGGTAACACAATGAGAAACAAAAAATTGAGAACATCATACATGTAACAAAATTTATTTATTGTTTGTTGTCATTTATTTAAAGCCCTCCTGTCCTGACCCTCTTTCATCACAGGATAAATGTTTTCCCCAACTTAATTAAATACATTTTTTTTTTTATCAGACTCGTATTCTGAAATACTGAAACCAGCAAAAAACTCCCTGTATAGACCTTCGGTCATGCATGCTACCTATACTAGACTAACACCATTAAAAAAAGCTTAAATAAGAAGCAAGAGACTAAGCACCAAGACTTTTTTCTTTTCTTTGTATATGAAAGAAACAACGTTTTCAATTACGTTCAACGAAAAAGCCGGTGTGTTTTGCACTTCTAACACACAACCAGGCCACCACTACAGTAATTCTGGAAAGTCCTTCAATTGAGTTTTACAAACGATACTATGTGAGCCCTGTGATATAGCCTTTGATATATAACTTTTTTTTTAAAGCATAAAGGCTGTTTTTTTCTGCAACATGAAAGGAAATAAACCAACTACGCATAGCAGAAAAAGCTGCTAATTAATAAAAACTAAAGGCACCAGGAAGAGGATGAAACGAGGTGGTCAAGAGTCTAGACCCTTCTCTCACAAACTAGCCCACATTCAAAAATCTAGTAGCTATGAACAGGTTCTCTCTTTAATTTAAATGTTCAATTATGAAACTGCGCTCATATATTCATAAAAAAACATACCTGCTGATCAACTTACAGCCACAAGAGGGTAGCAGAACATTCATTTACAAAGAGCAAGGGTTGTTAAATTATTATGAACTGACCCTTGATATAACTTGCATTCAATACAGATGATCTGAGTCAGACTCTTTCCGATTACACTAGTGAACTTAAAATTATGTAAAATATTCTATAGAGGCTCAATCATTCAGGTAAATTCAAGTAAAAAATTTAGCTGAAAGCAGCAATTAAGGGGCCAAGCACAAAGAAAGCATAAATCACACCAGAATGGCTGGGAGTATCAGACCAACTGCAACAATGAGTAATTAAAGACATTTTAAGAGGAATTTAGTTAAAATCATAATAAAAAAAAAAATCATAAATACAATCACTAATAATATGATTAAATGGCTTATCATATTTTACCAATAGTTGGCGCTGTTACCAAACTGATGGTCAGTGTGAGGTGACATGACACACATAATGTTTGGGGTCAATATGTCAAAGCTTTGCAGAGATACAGCCTCAGATGCAGTTTGGAATTATGCCATCAAATTCATTGATGCGAGGAACAAAAACAGTTTCATCTACCGCCAGGAAAACCATAACTTTTTGCCAGCATGGTCAGAAGATGATCAGACTCGAATTTTATGAAAATATGACAAATGGATTAGTATGTTTTAAAAGAAAATCAAAATCTGACTATGACAAATTTGGTATCTATGTTCTTGGCATGACCAATTTCAATAGGTAATAGGCAAAGCTAATCAAAAGCTAGTAGAAGTTTTTTTAAATTTTATTATAATTTGGCCACAAGGTGGCACTGTCTCGAAACCTTTTGAGAAACTTCAGCGCATGGTGATGATAGCACATACCAAGTTTCATAATGATACGTCAATGCGTTTGTAAAATATAGCTTTTTACAACAAAAAGGTCATTTGACATGGTGCACCAAATCTAGAGACCAGTTTTGGGATTTTTTTTCCCAAAACATTCAGAAATTATAAGCAAAAATAGCCATTTTTTTCATATATCCGCACCACTAGGTGGCACTGTGCAGTTACCGTCAGGTCATAGTTGTCATAAAACACACCAATTTAAGTCATAGTTGTTATAAAACACACCAATTTTGGTCAGAATATGCTAAAGCGTTTAGAGATATAGCCTCACATCCATTTTACCGTGTACTTCGTCAAATCCATTTGCGGGTTATTCGAGAATGGTTTGACGAATAATCTTGAATTCCATAACTTTTTTGTCGCCATGGTCTGAGCATGATCTGGTTAAATTTTCATGAAAATCAGAGCAACGGTCTCACGGTCTAGGAGGAGTTTAAAAAAGTAGGTTTCTTGGAAAATTCAAAATGGCAGAAAAATTCATGATGAAAAATGACATCATAGAGTGCAATCGTATCATCTTGAGCCAAGGAATCAGAGGAAAACATTTTTTTTTTTATTAGTTATTGGCATAAACGTGAGTGCAAATTTGGACAGATGGTGATGGTAGAGGGATTGAGTTAGAGACTTAAAATTTGCTATGATAACATTTCAGACTAGCCTCTATATGTGTGCCAAATTTCATAACTTTCCCACAAGTGGTTCTAGGGGCTGCAATAGACGAGCGGAAGAAAAAGATGACAGAATAATAATAATAATAAGAACACTACTATGATACAATAGGTGCCTACGAACCTTCAGTGCTTGGCCCCTAATTACAAGTCTGAGGAATTATTATCGAAATTTATCAGAAAATGGCAGATCAGAATTTCCAAAACCATCACTTGTATCCCAGAATTTTGACTAAAGCTCAGCTAGCAGTTTCTAGGGCAAGTTCATTTATTCAAGGTAAGTAAACTCAGCAGGACAGATATTGTGAGGCGCAGCTTCGCACACTTTGATTGTTTAAATGACTCCTAATTCTGCAGCATCACACCTAATCAAGGTTTTGCCAGTATTCCATATTGTGGCTTCAACACAATGCAACAGCAGACAGAGAATAAACAAGTTCTCATACTCAGACTTTTAGGAGATAATAATAATAATAATAATTAAAAAAAAAGTAAAATTATTAAAATGTCTACTTCTATAAACAATTCTACTTAACAGAACATTTCATGGCACTCTTGAAGGGCCTCAATTCTTGAACCATTATGATAACCATCGCAGTTACCCATCATTTTCTTGACTAATCACATTAGCTTGAAGAGAAATTGCACTCTTACAAGTATAACACATACAGATGGCTGTATCAACACCTGGACTAGCTGCTAATTCTAGAGTTTTCAAGCAGTTTGCTCAAAATCTCAATATGAAAGGAAAATAGTACACTTCAAGTAAAGTTGGGATTCTTACAGTTTTGTTCAGCCTGGTAGAAAAGCAGCAGATACACAGAATGAAGAGGATTATGAATCAAAGCATTTTCAAATCATCAAAGATTTGCCATATGGGCTATTTGTCAAGTATTTTAGTTGAATCTGACATACTCATCACCAACCCCATCATCAAAATATGTACAACTGCTGTTCAACCCTCGTCAGCCATATTGCACTACTTTGGTACTTCAGCTTTTCTACCTTGGCTGGATAGAAATAGGAAGTGGCATTTCAAGCAAAATATGTTCAGGAGTAATTTCCTTCACATTAGAAGATTTGTGGTTTAAGAGAAAAAAAATAAGGTAATATGGTAATATACATACAATATATACTTGATGAATCATTGTGTCTTTATACATCATGGATTTGTCCATAAGAGTTTAGACAGAACATGAGTTGGTAGAAGCAGAATAGGCAAATTGTGTCATTCCAATTAAGTTAAATGGAGAAGACAATGTAAAATAGGTGATTTAAGGTCCACGTTAGTCAGAATTCAGGCTGTACAGGAGGTCCAAAACCATAATAGTGGACAAAAGACATTACTAATGAATGCAGATTCATCAAAAGTGAACTTTAGTCCAGGATTGGGCTAAATCTGTGTGACAATTCCACATTCACCTCGAAAAAGTCCATTGATCTTTTAAACATGGTGGCAAAAATGTAAACCAATCATTATTCATTGTCACGGTTCACAATACAGGTCTATATAAAAAGACAAAAAAGTGCTTTAGATTAAGTAAAAACGATGGAGTTCTTAAACCAGTCAGACTAGGCATCATTAAAAGGCCTTCAATATGTTTTTTTTTAAACTCGAGTCCAAAATTAAGGAATGAGGATTTTGAGTTGCTGATTCAGAGTCTAATGTTTAAGGGTCAGAGTAAATCTGCAGTCTCAGTAACCTCAAGCCCCTCACTAGCTCTAACTGGAAGTGCATTCCCTAAAACCATGTGATATCTCTGCCATTTAAATCGCAGCCTTCAAAGAAAGGGCACGTACACTCCCATTAGGTGAATTTATGAGCAAATATCCACAGGAGACACCTCCTTCTAGGTCACCTTCTAGGCTATCAGGTGTCAGAACTTCAAGTCTTGAAAGCAAGGAATAAAAATGTCCTCTAAAATCCATGGTACGTTTAAAGTTCGTATAACTTAAAATAGAGGCATGGGATAGAAACCAACAATGGTTGAGTGGAACACAACAGCCAGGCAAAGTGGTGAATATGGTTGCAGCTAAAGTGATTTCATTCTTCTTGAAATAAAATAGAGTAAGAGAAAAATGAAGTTAATTCTATTATTCTCAACAAAAAAAAATAAAGATGAACGACTGAACAAGTGCTTCATGGTTTTCATGACTATAGTGTCCTCTATATCACAGATCCATGTAGAAATGTAAAGAGAAAGAATAGAAAGAGAACATGTACTGTTGTAAAATGAATGTAAGCCTTCTACTGAGAGGAAGAGAACAGGAATATTTTAAAGTCCTTCAAAACGGTTCATATCCTTCTTGATTAGAATATCTATATTCACTCTCAAGAAAATAACACCATCCCCTTCTGTAATAAACTACATGAAGGCCAGTGCTGACAAGGTAATTGAAGTCTTTGTTGGTTACACACTAATAAAAAGTATGTTCATAAGCACACAGACCTTCATCTGGTGTGTGGCATGTCTTAATAACTGTAGATCAGTCCTATAAAGAGTTCAGATAGAAGCCAAATCAAACACACCTGAACCAGATAATCAAGGTTTTGGGGTACATTAAAAATTACAGACATATATTAGAGCAGACTGGAATTAACTCTGCCTGAAGGTGGATTTCAAGGAGCAGGACTGAGCATCCCTGATGTAAGTACTGAGAGTTCAGCGCAAATTTTTTCACATACAACACTGACCTAAACAAGCTACATGTTTTAGAGTCATTTAGATGTGTGTGTGCAGAGTGTGTATGCAGATGTGTAAGCATGCATTGAAGTTTGTGTGTGTGTGTGTGTGTGTGTGTATAGTTGACTAAATAACAGGCCACATTTTCTCACAGCGTTTGTGGTTCTGCAGGGGCTGTGTGAGGGCTCTGGGGGGGAGAATGTGGCGGAGACTGCAAAAGGGGGGTAAAATGTGGGTTCGGAGGGCAGTAAGAAGGGGCGCCTGTGGGGGATGGGGGCAATCCGGAGGGCACCAGAGGTCCAGGGAGTCCGAAGGGGCCAGTGGGTGACTCAGCAGGAGGCTGGTTGTAAAAGAAAAAAGCACACTGATGGATGAATGTCTCGATGATTGTCTGGTAGGTGCGCGTGGCTGTCAGGGCATCCATAGAGGTGAAGTCTGGCCGCATTAGTGTGGGCCAGAAACAGATGGAGAGATTCTCACTGGTCATTAAGTTGACTCTGTTCCACTGACTAACCCTGAGAGAAAGAAACGGGGAGATAAGGTTAAGAGTCTCTCCACTTTAACTGATCTCTAAAAGTTTGTAACTGCAGGTGGTCTGACACTCACTTGTTTAGATGGCTCATTACATATTTAAAGACATCAAAATTCTCCCTGGGAAATCGTCTTAACACATCCTTCATTGTGTGAAGCCTTTGTTCCCGATCATTAATTTCTATGCACAAAAAAAAAAAAAACTTGATCATTCCACAGGCTTAGACAGTCAGGAACTGTGTTATGGATGACATAACATTCAATTTTGCTACCCTTGCATGCAACATTTTAATAGTTTAGAATTCAAGTGGATGCATTTACATTATTATATTCTTCACAAATGCATTTAAAGAATGCTAAGTGAAATCTTACTGAAAGCTTCCACCAGTTCTTCCTGAGAGCTATAAGGAACCAGAGGTTCAGGCAGCTCAGAGAAGAAACTTTTCATTGCCCCGGCAACTGTGTTCACAGTGAAGTCCTTCTCCACAAGGTCCAGATTGTGGTCTAAGACAAATGAACAAAGTGAGAGTGATAGAGAGGTATAGAAAGAAAGGAAGATCAAGACAAGAACTTATCCATCAATTATTATTAGTGTGGAATATAACAAATAGAATGAATTTATTAAAAGCGTTCACATGCTGTTAATATGCACACATACAAACTATATTTAGCCATGCGTGCCTTAAAGGGGTCATATAATGCCATTTTTGTACACGTTAATATGAATGTTTAGGGTCTAAATGAAAACTTTGTAATATACTTTTATTAAAAATTCTCATTAGTATTGTAAGAAAACACTAATTTTACCTGGTCCAAAACAGCTCAGTTTTCAGTACGCCGTTTCAGTGCATATGCCTTTAAATGAAAATGAGCTTTGCTCACTCCGCCCCTCTGTTCTGCTGGCGTTTTGATACAACACACGTGGAGTGTTGCCTTGACAACAGTTGAGGGTATATTTTGGAGAAAGAATGGCAGCGGATTCTTTGAGGACACATCTGTGCAACCGTATCAATTTGAACCAGACTCGGACCCGGAACAAGATGACGGCCACAAAGAAGTTCGACAATTAAGCACATTCTTAATGGCGCGAGCACAATTTTGAATCAACTCCTGGTAGAAGAGCTGCACGATGTGTGTTTTATCTTGATTAATTATTTATTTTTTTATGTTCATTGAATAATAGCTGATGTTTGAACGTTAATCAAGTAAAAGTGCCTATCACGTTGAGTCTGTTATTTTGTTGTAACGTTATCCGTTGTCTAGGCAACTATGTCACATAATACAATAGTATTTATTTAGCTAGCGTTTAGCTAACCCGAGTGAAAACAGCACGGGGTGAAGCCATGTACATTAACGACGATTTGAGACAAATAAATGTAAATTTTATATAAAACTATGCAAATGGCGCTCTGTGGCGCGGCAGGGTTTTGAACAAGGTCCTGAGCCGTAGCTGGGCGCCGCGGACAGACGCCGAATGGCGCCGCCGGTGTGTGTACACTCATAGAGAATAATGTGTTCGAATTTCAAAGACCTGGCGCTGCGCGACGCGGCGCTGCGCTTCTCGTCCGGTGTGCGACCCCCTTAAGACACCATTTTGCTCCAGTGTATCAACAATGACGGACTATGACAGCTCGCTCAGGGCGGGTCTGTGTTGAAACGCTGCTGTCAATCAACAATCGTGGGAGGGGCGTCCGACCGTGTGACGTCACACGGTCGAACGGCTCGATTTGAGACAGGTGAAAACATATAAGGAGATTAAAACAAAAACACTGGATGGATTTTTATCATTATATGATGGTTGTGTACAGGCACTGCCAACACACATTTCAGTACAATCAACTTGTAAAAGTGCATATACCATTATATGACCCCTTTAAAACCACATAAATCCACTAACAAAACTATAACCCACAACAATTTTGAAGTATTGAAATCCTTCTAAACTTACCCTGTTCAAACTGTCTCTGCGTGCTCTCTATTTCTGCCTTATTCCCACTTACCCTGTAGATACCCTCTGTTGTCAAACCTGAGAGAGAGATTTGATTAACAAGACAATTTCGAGGCAAGTCATCTTAACCTCAAAATGGACTCTTAAGCATTTTAAGACATTAAGTACGTCACTCTACTTTAAGTGTCCAATATAATTTAACTAATTTAACTACTACATACAGGTCTAATACTGCAGCTATTAAAAAAGCTCAAAAGTAAAAAGTTCTTAAAGGGATAGTTCACTTTGAAAATAATTTTTGGTATGTTTTAGCTTACCTCAAGGGCATCCAAGATGTAGGTGTTTTTGTTTCCGCAGTAGTTTCAATTTTGATATTTTTAGGTCAAACCGTTCTTGTCTGTCGGTCATATAATGCAGGTCTATGGGGTCCACCTCAAAGAGCATGCACAGAGAAGTCCAAATTAAACATGATTTAATGACTCGTAAATGTAAGTAAACATTGATGGCCTAAGACACGAAACGAGCGGTTTGTGTGAGAAAATGAACATTATTTATATAATGTTTACCTCTTTTAACCACAGCCACGTCCAAGTACTCTGAGGGCGCGGGCGCTTCTGTCTGCGCAAGCGCCGGCAAGCGCCGGAAAGCCCCGGAAGTGATCTCTCGCGCATGTACTCCCGGATGAGTTCGCGCAAGCATACCCAATTGTTTTCTTTTACAACGGTTTAAACATCCCGGATAAGCGCAAATTCGTACCATTTTAATTAGCCGTCTTACCTACAATCTCTGTTCTGTGTAAACAATGAGTGACGTACACGCGCGAGAGATCACTTCCGGGGCTTTCCGGGGCTTTCCGGCGCTTGCCGGCGCTTGCGCAGACCGAAGTGCCCGAGCCCTCAGAGTACTTGGACGTGACTGTGATTACAAGAGGTAAAAACGATATAAATACTGTTCGTTTTCTCACACAAACCGCTCGTTTCGTGTCTTAGGCCATCAATGTGTACTTACATTTACGAGTCATTAAATCATGTTTAATTTGGACTTCTCTGTGCATGCTCTTTGAGGTGGACCCCATAGACCTGCATTATATGACTGACAGACAAGAACGGTTTGACCTAAAAATATCAAAATTGAAACTACTGCGGAAACAAAAACACCTACATCTTGGATGCCCTTGAGGTAAGCTAAAACATACCAAAAATTATTTTCAAAGTGAACTATCCCTTTAAATTCACATTAATATGGTTCTACAATCTTTATTATAAGACCATAGCTGAAACTCAGTCAAAAAAAGGGAACTACGTGCAATACTATGCTGTGGTGTGATTTATGACAGCTACAGCCCATTAAGCATCTAATTTTAACTGGACACTGCGATAATGATAAGCTTATATGGTTCCCTAAGAACAACTGTTATGGGGTGAGTAGGTTGGTGAAACAGAAGCAGCAGCAACTGTACCTGTGGCTTCAATATAACGAATACACTTGTCAATGAAAACCGGAATAGGTCGTTCAAGGGAAACCACATTCACCAGAGGCACCCCGAAGTAGTTACTCTCCAAAGGCTTAGAGATAGAATGACGAGGCTTTGGTCTTGTTTTCTACGAACAGCAAGACAAATACAGATTATTTGACAATTATACAAGACTCCTTTAATGAAGCCTTAAAAGCTTCCAAAGCTAAAAAAAAATATTAATTTAAATATCACAATAGATGCCCTGAGGATGGTCTTGTGACCGAAAGCTTGGCGATTAAAATTGCTTTAAAGGATTCAAGTGTGCAGACAGTTTATTTATTTTCTGAGTTGTTTAGTTGTGTCTGTCTGGCACCTTGTTTATCGTGAGTGCGGTGAAACGCCTTTAAAATATCACAATGTTAAAAACAGACGAGCATACTTTAAAAAGCCATGTAAAATAAATAAATAAATCTTACTTTGCCTGGTCGGCGAAGACTTTTCAGTATGTTCCTCTTTTTAGGATCTTCTCCTTCTTCATTGAGTATGTCTGTCTTCAGTGCTGAAACATCATCGTCTTTTGACCTTGTGAGTGTGCCAATCTCATCATCGCTACCAATGGAAAAACTAGTGCGGAAACTGCTGAACTTCCCCAGACGCTTGGAACGATCACGGTAAAGCCGTGGCTTTACCCTTGCTGCTGAAAATTTGCGACGTCTCTCCAACGAGCTGCCATCCCCTTCACTGTCTGAACCATTGCCTCCTCCATTAGAATGGATCCGATTGGAATTGCGGATGGTAATAATTTTGCCCTGTGTGCTGTCATGTGGCACAGAATATATGCTGTCCTCGTAGCTGGGGCGTGGCTTAGAGACAGCATCCATTGGCTCAGCATAGTCTGACGGATCGTAATCTCCTCCTAGAGGCCACGTCACATTGGATGTAAGTGAACGCCGATGGCTGACTGCATCTACGTACGGGTTGAAATTTGGTTTTCTAAGGTCAAATGTGACACTAGGCTTGGGTCTCACTTGTGGAGGAACTTTATTATTTAGCTTGTTTTCAAAGGTGCTAAGGTCAGAGATCACAGAGAATGTGTCACCTGAGTCCAGGTCAGGCAGTTTGAATCCACCATGAGAGGTGAGTGTACCATCATGGTAAGGCGGGGAAGCTTCCATGTCTTCCTCAGAATCTAACAGCATTGTGACAGGGCTTGGGGAGCCACAGTGTGGTGAATACACATTCTCATTTGTGCTACTGGCTTCTGCAATGTTTTCATACATATGACTGGCCTCAACAATGGTTCTCTTTTCTAATACCTCTGTGAAAAATTGTTCCAATAGGTCTAGTTTGTGAAGTCCTCCAACAACTCCCCCAGGGCCACAGACAATACTGCAAAACCGTCCCTCAAGTTCATGGGCCAGTTCTTCACCTTGGACTAACATCTCATGAGCCATCTCAGAGTCCAGAAGCTCAGTCCGGGTTTCTCCAACTGCAAGCAGCTGTACTGGTATGATGTCCTGAACCTCACACAAAAAGGCACACAGGGTTTCAAAAGAAGCCTTGCGGCTAGCAGAGTATACAGCGATGTAGCCATGGACCAGCCGACTCTTACGAGTGGCAAAAGAAGAGTGGTATGACAGTAGGGACAACTCAATTGTATGCTTGTGTCCACCAATTGTTTGTTCTAGCAGCACTGAAGTGCCACTTGTTTGGGGAGAGGTCGGCTTGCAATGCTGAGGAAGCAGGAATGGAGCAAGAAGTTGATCAATGTCGTAGGAGTCTCCACACATTAGGCACAAGACAATACGTAACTCAGCCTCTGGGCTCTGGTCCTGCTGTAAGTCTCGAATACAAGGAGGCAGCGGAGGTGCAGGTGGAGAACAGCTACGAAATGTAGAAGTCCTCCTTGTTTCAAGTAGAACCTTTAAAACCTGGTTGATCTGCTTTTCATTCACATTTCTCCCATAGCCAGTGCCTGGGGAGGCAGGTTCCAGGTAGTTACAATGCAGTTTTAGGGCTACCTGCTGACCCTGTGAGATTAATGCTTGAGCTGTCTCGCCACCAATGTCACCCAGTCCTCCAACACCTCTTTTGGTTACTAATAAGAGTGACAGGGGAAGGTGAGCCATATGGTTGTCCTTTCTGCCAAGCGTAGATTCTCGCAACTTCTCAATACTTTCTACAACATATGACAAGGACTCTTTTGAATTGTATAAACACAGGCATCCATGAGGAGTAAATGTAGATGTATGAAACGAATTAACAGGAAGTCTAACATTGCCCTCAATTGGCCGAAGGACAAGTTCATACATTCTACCTTCAAGCACATAATGATCATCATTGGTACACAATGCCCGAATCTCATTAGCTAATTCTCTAGCAAGTCCATCTTTTCCCAGTATAACAAGATTGATTCTATCTACTTTTCCATCAATCAAATGGGTCTTTCCGAAGGAAGGGTATTGTTTTGGGAAGCACGAAACAAGTATTTGCTCAATTTTATGGTCAACACAGTGTGGGCAGTTCGGGCATGTTTCCTTTGTAGGATGATACACAAAATGGATGTGTTTCAGCACTAAAGCATCCCTTTCAGCTTGCAATTTCTGAAGTGCCTTGAAGCGTTGTTCTTCACCTAACACTTCTTGAATTGCTCCCATTTTCTCTTTACTAGGTTTGGCATCCAGCTCAAGTTCATAGAAGAGTTCAGAGTACTCTAGCAAAAGCTCCTGAAAATCTTCTTTTGCCCTGTCTATGATTGCTTTCTGGTGCCGGTTATAAATGTCCAAATATTCTGGCTCTTCAAGCCACTGGTAGAAGTCTTCGTTCATGATAAAGCTTCGGGCCTCCTCCCAGGGTTTGCCAGGGGTAACGAAAGGGGAAGATGCTAATTTTGCTTTGAACTCATGACGCATCTGGGCACGCTTGCATTCATTGCGCAAGTGTTCAAGGTGTGCATCAAAGATTATTTCAGCAGCCGTGGTGTCTAGCACATCAAAGGGAATGCGCTCATCCTCCATGTTATCAAGATGTGGCGTGTCCTCCCATGGCGCATCGTCCAGTACCACAAACCAATGATCAAAGTCTTTTTTTGACTCAAGGACCTTTTGGACCCCAGACCAGCTCAAATGCTCAATTTCATCCAACTCGGACACCAAGCTACTTAAGGCGAGTGGAAGAGCGCTCAAGTATGCTTTACGACGCTTTTCAATATGCTCCTGTTTTAGCCGGTGAATATGTTGTTGAAATAGCTTCTTAGCTTTACCTGTACCTTCTAAAAATACATACTCCTTGTATTCAGGTGAAGTCTGCATTCGTCGGCTGATGTTGGGCCAAGTTTCATTGTGATTCTTCACAATGTGGTTCACCAACCACTCATAGCGGTCTTTTGCAGAGGCAATGAGTTGACTCTGGTGTTTCAATGCCTCAAAGTAAGGTATGATCTTGGGCTTACCTCTTCCCTTATCAATGAGCTGTATCAAGGTAAGGAAAGCCAAGTCAACATTGACATTGGACCGTGCCGAAGTCTCAACAACTTGCAAGTTCTTTTTTGTAATGGCAAATGTATGAGAATCCTTGATATATCGCTCCACACCCTCATCACACTTAGTGAGAACCAGCACAATAGGCTTTTTTGTCTTGCTTAAGTGATTGTACAAGTTGGTGACAAATTTCATTTGATCATCAAAGTTTCGGTTCATACCACGACTGACATCAACACAAAGCAGAAAGCCATCCACCTGCAACTTGCCTTCGGGCATTTGCTTCTGTTCAAAATCTTGCTCCAGTCCCAATTGATCAGTGCAGAAGTACATGAGTTTTTCAGCAGAAGCCAGTTTGGTGGAGGCAGCTCTTTTGATGTAGGGCTGTAAGGCTGTGCTGCGATGAGGCTGGAACGTCTGGTCATCAATGAATTCTGTCTGCTCAACCACATGCATCCTGCAGTCTGCACCATCTTCCAAAACTCTCCCCACCTCTCCCCAAAACAGGAAATGGTCATTGTTGACAACCCGGCCCCCGAAGTCACTGGTACTTAGCACAGAAGTGTGATCAAGATGGAAGTCGTCTGCACTAGGGCGGACAAAACGGTTACAAAGGCAGGATTTGCCAACTCCACATTGCCCTTTCTCCTTCTCAGTTCCCGACAGGCCAACAACAACAAGGTTGTAGATAGGCATTCGGGATTCTTGCTTTTTAGCCATCATCATTGTACCCAGGCATTCATCTTGCCATTCCCCAAAGGTTGGCAGAGGCAGACTCTTTAAAATGTCTCCATAAAATGTTGAAAGCAGGGCCCTGTATTTGATTTACAATTGAGACTTTAGTTTTGATGTTTCAATCATCCTTTCAGGTCAAGAAAGTGGCTTGCATTTTTGCCCATATTAGAGGGGACTAATGAGAGATAAGCAGGGGGGCATGGAGAAGTGAAGAAGGAATTGGGGCTAACCTAAATGAGAAAGAGAGAGAGAAAGAACAAACCAATTATCAGCAAATTCATGTGCTTTGCTTGCCTAAAAGTATAAAGAAAATATAAAGCTACTTTAATCATTCTTACAGATATTAAAATATTAAATTAACACAGTAACCCTGTAATCCTACATTAAACATCAAACCCCTTAAAAGTGCCTAACAATCTACATTAAGAATTTCAATAATGTTTCTAATAATGCATAATATTGTTTCTTCAATAGCCTACTGCTAATTTTTGATTATTACAAATCAATTTCTGATTATGGATCATCAGATTGATTCTTATTTTGATCTATTCCTATGCTAGCAAAACTACACAACATTATATGAATACTAAAAACTAGTAAGGCAACATAGTTTACTTCAAAATCACTCTACAATCATAATTCACAATCTACTTAAACTTGGCTTCATGAAGTATATTATGTTCTGTATATTTGTGTTTAGTTAACGATTGGCTATTGTTGCTCAATTCCCAAAATACCACTTAAAATCAGTGTGCATAATATAATTTTAAAATCTAGACATTTTCAGAGAAATGTCAGATTGTTTCAAAGCCAAAAATGTTAGATCATTCCAACACACCAGGAATGTTGGAACCAGTATTTTTACACCCGTTTTGTCTGGTATTCAAAACCAGTCAAGAGGGTTTTGTCTGATACCCAAAACTAGTCAACAGCGAGTCTTGTCAAAGAATTTTCTTTTATCAATCAAGAGATTGACAGAGGAAAACAGGAATAGAAAGTAGGAGTCGAAATCACTAGTTTTATCATCAACAATATTTAAAATTTTGGCGTAATGGCATTGGGAGGATCTAAATTAAAATGACATATTCACAGCAGAGTCATATCTAACAATTAGAGGTGTAACAGATCGTTGTTGAGCCGTGATACATACGGACCAGGCCCTACAGTTCAACAAGCATTCCATTCGAAGATTAGTTGCAAAGTTTAACCATTGAATGAAAGTTAATAATTTCCATATGTTTCTACGTCTTGCTAATGTTTTGCCCTGTTTGCGTACACAGAGAGCTGCGTTTTAGACAGTGTGTGAAAACAAAATTAAGTCCTCTTTTGATTCTCCTTGTGCAGACAGACACAACATTTTTGCAAAATAGTGTTGGGCAACACTCTTCATATGATGACCTTGCTTAATCGACTATCAATACGTTGTATCGATCAAATTATCGTCAATTAATCGATCGTCGATTAATTGTTAGCATCCTACTTATGTGGTTGCTATAGGGTGTTCTAGGTGGTTGTTCACTCCAAATTTCTATATTCAGGTTCTAGATATGTATAATATTTAATTAAACAAGACTACATGCAAAAAGCTAAGGCACAATATAATAAATACAAAAAAAAAACTGAAATAACTGTAAAAAAGCTGCAAAATGTAATTTTTGCTTCCCATTGAACTCCAGCAATTAGGGGTAAACAACAGTTTGCTGACCACTGAGCCAGTTAGTGGCAAACAGTTAGCGTTTAAAAATGGATAACTTCAAAGTAATTAAAGAGCATGATCTAACAGCAAGTACTTGTAAACCAATGAGAACTCCTGAATAGAATATCAACAGTATTTAATAATTTCTTTCTTTATCTATATCTGTATAATTTAAATAGCACCCCCCCAAAAGTTCCTCACTTATATGCCATTACAAACCCATATGGCTGTCTTTTATGTAATGAGAAAATTGTAAACAATGTAGTTGATTTTTTCCCCATGCAATTACAAGCCTTAACGCATCTTAAAGGGATACTCCACCCAAAAATGAAAATTCTGTCATCATTTACTCACCCTCAAGTTGTTGCAAACCTGTATGAGTTTCTTTCTTCTGCTGAACACAAAGGAAGATATTTTGAAGAACGATTGGAACTTTGGCACCATTCCATAGTATTTTTTTTTCTACTATGGAAGTCAATGGTGCCAAACAACTGTTTGGTTCCAATCGTTCTTCAAAATATCTTCCTTTGTGTTCAGCAGAAGAAAGAAACTCATACAGGTTTGCAACAACTTGAGGGTGAGTAAATGATGACAAAATTTTCATTTTTGGGTGGAGTATCCCTTTAAGTGGCTGATATAATGGGCTATGTCTATATTCCATGTCTTCTGAAGCCATATGAATTTTAATTTTTGTGCTCCTTTCATGATACTTTTTCTGTCATTTTGTAGCTTGACAGCCCCATTACTCATCAATTTACATTATACTGAAAAGAGAGCTAAATATTCCAAAATTCACCTAGTGTGTTCTACTAAAGAAAAATGCATATGTTTTCTTAAAGAATTTCCATTTTTGGGGTGAACCGTTATCAAGGGCATTGTCACTTATGTAGTTTGATCATTATTAAAATAAAACTTATTTAAATTATTTCTTTAAAATATTTCTAATTAAAACTGTTCTTGATCCCATTTTGCAGCAACTTAATTCATCACTTAATTGGTGCCTTACCAAGTAGTTGAAGTAACAATTACATTAAGGCACGTGCACAGATAGACCCCCAAGTGGTGCTCAAGCTCCGGCCCATTTGGAATCTGATTAGATAAGTGCCCTTTTTGCAAGACATTTTATAGTTTAGTTAGTGTTTAAATTTGTCCCATAGCATCAATCCTTATTCAATTCTTAGCGTGTGCCCGACAACTTATTCTTAATAATTCTGTGAGACCGCATGCTCTGCAGGCGAGCAGCACCGACATATCCCAGGCCTGCTTTTATTGGTGACAGACAGGTAACGATTGTGTTTGCCCTAAACTTCAACACTGTTTCTCACCGCTGTGAAATTAAACCACTATTAAAAATAGAGGTCGGCAGATAGCGGATTTTACAGATAACGATAACTTGGTTGGACCACACTGGCCGATAACAGATTAATCAACTGATAGTATTTTAATTGGATACTGAATGAAAACAAACATAGCAGCCCAAGTAAAATATGCTGAACTTTATTACAAAAATTAAAAAACAGTACTGAACCATGAAAAAGTACTGTACTTTATAAATGAAATATATGAATCCCTATATGAAGCATACAGACTATATCAAATGGCACCAATTAGGCCTATGTCCCTTTTCACAAGATGTAAAATAAGTCTCTGATGTCCCCAGAGTGTGTATATGAAGTCTTAGATCAAAATACCCCACAGATCCTTTTTTACATCATGTTAAAATTCCCATTTTTTGGGGGTTAGAAAAAATGCACTGTTTTTGTGTGTGTCCCTTTAAATGCAAATGAGCTGCTGCTCCTAGCCCCCTTTCAAGAAGAGGGCGGAGCTTCAAGAGCTGGTGCTCCGGTGTCAAGACAATCTCCTCTCAAGCAATTATAATGTCAGAACAGAAACTGTCAGTAGCGGTTTTCATTTCGACCCGTAGTTGGACAATAATGCCAGAAAACATATACTCTATAGAGATAGAACAGGTATAGTTTTGTTTAATTACGGTTATAGCGCAGAGGGTTACCATGTCATGTTTTGGGGGGGCATTTGGCTTGTTTGGGGGGGCAACATAAACTTTTGAAAAAATTGGCGCAAAATTAAGCTATACTACACACAATTTGTTTTAGTGCATATCTTTTTTCTAAGCCAGGAACCCAGAGATAGGCACAGGGCCCCTATTAGACTATAAGGCTATCACATAAAGGTTAGTTAAACCAGGTCAACATTAATAATATGATGATGATATTATTATTATTATTGACAGATTCATATATATATATCAGATCACGGTGATTGCCTGATGATGAGTGACAGGTGTTTGCTTGTGAGAAGACGTGCTACACGAGTAGGCTACCGAGAAGGACGAGAGTTTTTTAAATGAATCTGAAGTCACGTTTGTATAGACAAGAGGTAAATTAATTTGTTTCTTCTTCTAAGCTGTTCCAGACGTAGGTGCTACTTTTAGGGCTAAAATGCTTCATGAATTACTCATGTAAAACACATTAAGAGTCTAAAGTTATGAGTGACACGCCCATTATGTTTAGGAGTTTCTCTTAAATTCGCCAGTTAGGAGCTACTTTTAGCCTCTTATAAGATTCTTTGTGAATGCGGCCCCAGGTAAAAAATAAATAAAATAAATGCTCATTTAAACAGTATGAGAACAGTATTTAATTGTTACTCTCTGGTTGTAAGTGGCTTTGGATAAAAGTGTCTGCTAAATGAATAAATGTAATGTAAACATATAGGCCTAGATAAAAGGAAACATATTAGGCTAGACACCCTAGACACGCCCGTTATAGCGTATTTGTCATCTTGCTTTTATCCACTATTAGTACAAGCCTGTTGTACCGAACCCCATTCATAAGATGGCCAAAAATGTACTGATGAGTTTTATGAAGTTTATTGTACTTCACACAAAAGATGAAGCATCATTTTCACTCCAGAAAATCACCGCAAGAGCTGAATAAAACACAGTACTGTGCAGTATTAAAGTCTTATCCATAATCTCTCTCTCTCCCTTGCATTATCAACAACATACACAGCGAATTACACAAAAACACTCGTTACAACTAACAGTAAACAAATACAGACCTTTTCAGGGGTGCTTAATAAACTGATAGACTTTATATCCGTAAAACAACTCCTATGAAAGTGTGCGCTCTCCCTTCCATTACTCAAATAGCTAATGATACAAATGTAATAATAAAAAAACCTTTAAAGCGGTTCAAATGTTGACATATCTTACTAAGATGCGATAGATTATACTCTCAGAAATGGACCATGGTGAACATTTAAACAGTTTGTGAATCCTGGTGGAGCAGAGAGGGAAAGGTCTCCAAGAAGCAGTAGCGAAATGTAGCAAAATGACTGACCTGTTCAGGTCAGTGGAGGTCAGTTTTGTAAATAATCGTAGTTGTAGTTTTGGCTGTAGTTTTGACTTTGTTAACTTCGCTAAGCATTAAACTGCTATCAAATGTAAGCAGTAAGTACTATAGTCTTTCAAAATACCGTATGCTAAAGAACATCATTATTATCTATTGTAAAGTTACAGTAGTAATTTAGTAGACAAATATTCACATCGATTTATAGTGTTTAGAGGGAGACAACACTAGCCTGGCTCCGCCCTCATACGTACTTCCGCTCAATTTTCATTTTCCTTCAGCACTACTGGTGCGTTCACGTGCTATGGTAATTATGGTAAATAGTAAATACCAAAAGCCGACGTTGAAAATGCACATGAACACCCCCTCATGTGGTATTTTCCACTGGGCAGCTCGTAGAATATTTTGATGCACAAGTTGCCGAGATGAGATAACCTTTGACCTTTTCAAAATGGCGGAGAGCAACGCGAGAGTCGTGAATGGTAAAAATATGTACTATTCATGATCTAGAAAATATACAGCATATTATTTACCGTTTGAGTTTTGATAAATCATTTTCTTGCTGTAGCAGATAACTTAAGCAATCTAAAATAGTTTTAGCTAAACTATTCTAGGTCTGGATCTCCATCTTTTTACCACATTACGACAACAAAAGCACTTGAACGCAACACACTGGTAAATACCATTTCACAAGTGGAAAATATCATATTTTTCATAGCATTAAAGTACTACATTATTGATAATCCAAAAAAGTTTCATTGATACTGAATTATGTAAAATTATTGTAAAAAAAACAAAAATATGATTTTATGAAATTGAAAAAAAAAATCTGCTTAACAGGGTAGGTAGACAAAGTAATAACAGGGGTGGACAAAATAACAAGGTTGGTTGACAAGTGGTTATAAAGAATGGATGGATTGATGATTTCCTATCCCTCACATTCAACCAATTACAATATTACTTTTATTTGTGCTGGATTTTGATAGGAAACAATCTGTAAAATGTTACCAAAGAATTTGTATATACACTACTACAACTTGAAACAAATTACTTTCACAATCACTTTGTAGACTCTAAATGACCACTGGACAATCTGACCTAAAATCAGCCACTGCACCATGTCTGAGCAAAAAGAAGCTGACCTAGGTTTATCAAATAATGAATTGCATGGTTTTTTAAATTGTGATTTTAAGCATAATTTTTCCAACTACCTTTTTTTATATCAACAGTGATGTATTAAGGTTGACCACATCAAATGTATGGATCATTTGAGGGATAAACTAAACATATTTATTATATTTGTTAAATTGAATTTAATAATTAAACAAAATTATACATTAGAGAGAATCATAATCATTACTGATATACCCAACAATGTAAAACAAATTTTTTTTTTGGGGGGGGGGGGGGGGGGGGGGGGGGGGGGAGAGACCACATACAGTAAGTATTGTATTTATCATGAAAATGGAGTATGCAAGCCTGGGAACATAGGAAAAATGGTGATATGTGGTGGTTCAAATGTTGTAAACAATTCTCACATTATTTTTTAATCAAATTTAATATGCTTAGAGTTCAAATGGTATTATTTATGAAGACTTAAAATTTACAGTCCCACATTTTAAGGCAGTAAGATCATGATCTTTACTGGGGACACAAAAGGCCCCGAATCACACAAGACATTGTCCTAATGTAATACTTTGAATTTAAAGAAAATAAATTTAGATTATGTTCAAACACAATGAGGTGGTTGTTTTGCAACAAGGTTGAGACAGTTCTGTTTATAACAGTACACCTGCTGGTGAAGAAGTGACAGAAAAAAGTACACACATGGAAGAGACAAAAAGATATGGGAAATGAAGAGAAGGAAAATGGAAGTGAAGGTGCATTTCAAAAGAGAACCTTTAATTATTTTGCATGGGCCCAGCCTAAGGATTTTAACCTTTTTTATGTGATGGCCATACAAAAAAAGGGTTGTCCATGGTTCCAAAACTGTAGTGGGTGTATGGGATGGCCTGGATGAGAGTGAGATTTCCCAGTCCAGCCCTGGCTGTAGCCCACTGTGTTGTGTTGTTAGACATTGAGAAATATGGCTTTAACATACATCAAACACTGTCTTGGCTGTAAGTGTATGGAAAAAATAAAGACATCACGGCACACTCTTCAAGCAAAATACACATCTGAAGTTCTGAACCCTAAAGAAAGCAACTGATAAAGGATTTTATCCTTAAAGCCTATAGGCCTAGCATAGCCTAAGCAAGAAATACCAGCTACGTAATGCGTCATGGTTCAGAACTGCCTACGAGCGGCTCAGCTGTCTGTTTGGTACTGCAGTCTGCAACAGAAAATACACTCAATTGTCTGTAACATTTTCCCCATGTATATACAACTGGGTATGCCGTTATAATAAATTAGTGCGACTCGTTACCATCCGTTGTCGTTCTACAATTAAATGGTCTGTGATTCTGTCCAGCGTTACATAGCAACTAACAAGGTGCACATCACGTGAGAAAATAGTCTGCCAACTTATAACATTCTGAGATTGTAAGAGTGCAAGATAAATCCGTTTTTAAAGCAACCAGGTCGCTGCCTGCACAACAGACAGCAATCACTTTTATTTAAACGTACAATTTCTCTTCGGTAGCCTACTACTCTACTCCTTATTTAAAGATAGTCTACTCGATTTATAGGCTTCTTCAACGGCTGAAAAATGTCACGTTCCCGGCGACACAGACTACTTTGCTCGCTAATATTTATTTTAATGAAATACTGGGGAGAATACATACATACAGTGCATTTCTCCGTCCTCCCTTTCCCTTCTCAATCCCTCTTCCAGGCCAGCGGCAGAAGGCAACCGGCTCGGCCAATGTTGTTAGAAACCAGAAAGAAAGGAAAACAAAAGACTACGCAAAAAGCCGAGGACATTAGATTCATTGGGGGCTCTTTGATTGTGGCTTGACAGACTTGCAGTTTCCAAGGGGTATTTTTGTCAGACGCAACTTACTGATCTCGCGTTAGTATGGAAAGGGCTGGAAAAAATCCACCGACGGCTAAACATATCCAAACAAAGAAATGTCCTTTCTTGGAGGCCAGTCGTTTCCGTGCGGGAAAAAGGCTTGTTTTAATGTCTTCCTCCGGCCAGTAAGCACGTTGGTTTCGGTCAAGTATAATGCCCTTTGTTGTGGCCATAAAATGCCATCGTGTGCAGACAGCATGCAACGATGCCTTAACACTGAGACACAACATCCAGTTTTTCGTAGCCAAATCTCGAGCACTATGGGCCACGCATGTCTTTAAATGTTAAGATATATATGTGCGTGTGGGTGAAAGTGGTTGTCCAAGGCTCCCAATAATGGCGGTCCATCCGCCCGAACCCAACTCTGAGTCTGCCCTCTTTCGCTCTCCTTTTTTGAGGATAAAAGAGGGTTACTGAGACAGCCGAGACTCGCCCAGTGGCGCATGGACAACAGCACAGCGCTGAGCCAATTACAAGAGCCGAGCTCGAGCGCGCGCACGCGGAGGCAGGCCCGACCTAAAGGAGAAGCAGCATCCTTTCATGGACAGAGAGTGATTGATGTTGTTGCAGATTATTGTGATCGTATAAAGAATTCTAAAAATAACTACGTGACGCAGTATTTCCAACAATTTCACACTCAGTTACCAAGGTTTTGACATCAGCGATACTCACTTTATTACATATAATAATTTTATGTGACTTTACGTGCAAAATTATAACGTGATTTCCACAAATCAGACCACTATTTTTTTAATGTCATTTTTGTAATTGTGTACATAGGCTCATGTCAATGGAAAGTAACAATATTCATTAAAAGTTGTTGAGATCAAAAGTGATGATGAAAGGGGCCAGTCATCCTTGGTGAATATATTGAGATGTCCTATTACCTGAAAAAAATAAAAAATAAACATCAGGAGAACTATGATTTTAATTATTGAATATATCTGAGAGAGAGAGAGAGAGATGAGAGAGAGAGAGAGAGAGAGAGAGAGAGAGAAGAGAGCAGAGAGAGAGAGAGAGAGAGAGAGTGGGTGGGTGTGGGTGTGTGGTAGAGGTAAACTACTTTATGGGGGAAAATGTCCCTACAAAGATGGCAATAAATAAAACCCTTGACCTTGTGGGGACATTTTAGGTCCACATGAGCTTGTAATTCATATACTTTTTTTTTGGAAAATGTAAAAAGAAAGTTTGTGATGGGTAGGTTAGGGGATAGAATAGTTTGTACAGTCTAAAAATCATTATGTCTACGGAATGCCCCTGTAAAACATGAAACCCAATGTGTGTGTGTTTTATCTTTATTGTATCTTTTTACAGTTTGATATTGTCTGTGCCTTACTTAGCAGATGACTTGTTTCCACAGTTGAGCTTTTTGACTGCCAGAAAAGATAACATTTGACTATACAAGGATGTATGTTTGATGGTAATCTTTATTATAATCTATGCAGAGAGGACATGCTGTAGATTGCATAAATCTAGACATACTCACTGAATATGATAGCCATGCCCAAACAGAACAAAACAGCTGCAAAGATCAGCCCACCTCTTCTGATTAACTCATAATCTGGCATAAGCGCACACATAGATAGTTACAAACATGATATCTTCAAAAGTGATCCTAACAAATCTTTGCTGAAAAGTTGTAAAACAACAAAACATTTCAGCTAACATTCTTTTGTGACTGGCTGATTTGAGCAGACTGTTCCCTTGAGATATGACTGAAACAAACTAATTTGCAACATTCATACTAGCATAAGTTCAACTTTAAAATGTGCTGTATGATTATTCCACAGTTCTGTCAATTTAATTTAAAATATAAGTAACCATCAGACATTCTTACCATAGGTGAAATCAGCATCTGAATACTCAGTTGTTTCTTAGAGAGAACACACAATGTTAACATTAAACCTATAGGCCAAATATTATTCTTACATTCTCTAATAGATATGGTCTAAATATTTTAAATGGATAGTTACCCAAAATGAAAAAGAAAGAAGAAAGAAAGTCATGCAGGTTTGGACCGACATGATTGTGAGTAAATTATGACAGACTATTCATTTATGAGTCAACTATCCTTTTAATTTGTGTGATATACAACTCTAAAAAAGTTAGTT